CAAAAGACAATCAAGGGAAAATAAGCGTGAGGAAGTAGGAAGCGAACTTAGAGGTAGAACACAGCCGAAAACATGAAAAGAAAGACAAAGCAATCTGAGATGCATACGAAAATGAGCCGTTTACCTCGAGAGGTACTGGATGAAGGCTGTAGCAGCGGAATTCAAACGGAGAGTCAGTAGATGAAGTGGAGTTAATTGATCAATTTGCATGCCGCAATTTGTCATGGGTAAGGTGGGGAAGGTTACCTGGAAGTTAGTTGAAAATTAGCATTTAACTTTCACATGTGATCCACCACTAGGTTAGAGGAGTAAAACTCAGAAGTGGCGATCGATAATTCTTCTAGATCACGCTCTCGAAGTCGCTGCAACTTTTATTACGAATTGCAAAATGTCTTTTTCTTCTTCAGTTTGTACCGTCACTTTATGTGGCATCGATGAATCGCCATCATCGACCTACGACTTCTCTAATTCCATCGAAGCATTTATAAACTATTCCACTGCATTTCAAACCAGATAACGAAACACTATTGTAAATTTTAGTCAAGATATAGCATTTTTCTGATTATTATAACAAGATGTTAGTTGACTGATGTCATTCTCGGCCTGAAAACAAAATATTTTACTGTGTAAGCTAATTGCTGAATGACTTTTGAAAAAATTCGTTGGTCAGAATAGGAATGCATATACAAGGAGCGTTTCGCAATTGATGTGGTAGCTTTCCTGTTTTCCTGCTTTCAGGATGTCGTCGAGGGGCAATCGTTTCATGCTTTTGCCAAAGTTATTCTGGACCTGTAGAAATTGATCTGCTTGTTCAGTTATCGTATTCTAGTATCTTTATCCTCATGACTCAACCACCCGTACGAGTCGTGAGTGCCGGGCAGCGTCAATCACAAGGGAATGCTTGACCGTTCCAAGTACGGTGAAGTGCATTCTTCTCATCAGCTACATTTGCCGTGAATCTATCATGAAACCAGCTACCAGTTCAACGGATTGCATTCATGATCACAGAAACCTTTTATAATTAATTGTCGTTTAGACCGAACTATTGGTAAAGGGCGAGGTAGTCTCACTTCCGGTGAGATACGAACCTAAGAAATACCTTGCAGTGCTGAAAATCGAAAGCACTTTGTCACAGGGAGCGCTCTCACAGTTGAGTCAAATCGAATTACAGCAAACAGCAATATAATAAACGCACTGGCTTGAAACAGGCATTCTTCCGGCGGAAAACCATCGTTTCCATTGTACAGGGAATTCAACAGCAGGAGCGTCTCGCAGAGGTGCTTTTGCGCCGGCAATCAACAAAATGTAGAGTCTGGTATTTGACAAATTTTTCTGGCAAAGGCCAAGCCAAGGTAAAATATATTTGGTTCCGGTT